GCTATGGCCGAGTCAACAGGACACTCAAGTATTGGACCATTGGTCTCCTTGCAGATGGAAAATTGGAGAGACTCGGGTAAATCGAGTGCCTCTCCCAGACAGACGAAACCGTGCAATGCGTGAGCGGCTGCCAACCATCTCCGCTGGCCCCGACGACGACGTGAACCTAATCTGATAAAAACATGCGTTCACTGTAAACTTCTGGAGGCTTAATTGCATCATCGGAAGGCTCTTTCCGCTTGTTCTCCCACTCGCGTGATCATATACCACATGTCCATTATAAGTTGAACCCTATTTAATATGATTGGCCATATATAAATGAGGTCAACTTACTTCGGAGATGTCAAAATTTTGGAATCTTATTTTTTTATTTGTTATCATACAAATTATCATTTTATAGACAATATTAATTCGTAGCTCGGTGGCGTTACGGATATGCGCTGCTGCGCACGATCGCTATTGCTAAGCAATTTTCGCAAGAGTTGTTCACGGGATGGGTGGCCAAAAATTATTAAACAACGGCCTGAGGCCCTGCAGTTTGGCTGTGAAAGAGTTAATGATGATGATCAATATATCAAAGACCAAAATTTAATAAAACAGTTAATATTTCTTAGCAATTTTGGCGACCACGTCACTTCAAATTGACATAACTTTTTTATTTGTGAACCGATTGAAATAAATCTTACACTAAATGTTAACAGAAGAATGCCGCAATATAATAGTGAAAACTGCATTTAAATCGGTTCAGCCTTTTCTGAGATTATCGTGCACAAACGCACAGACAAACAGACAAACCGACAAACAGACAAACAGACAAAAAATTTAAAAATCATTGTTTTGTGTTCTATTACTCTTATAAATGTCCCTCATAACAGTTTTTTTCATATATCTTCAATGTACAGACATCGATCGGTTACGTTTTTATTATAGTATAGATGTATATTTTATCTTCGTTTGAAAAATCCAAATCCCAAATATTTTTGTAGAAAAATGTATTTTGAACCTATTTATTACACTTTACTAATTCAAGAGTTATAAATTATTAATATCGTTATCTTTAAAGTTTCATATTAATTATTGAAGATTGTCAACAACCCTGCTGGCTCTGATTTCTATAGCATCTTTTTTCAGTTTTACTTCACCCTCCTTTTAAATCAAGGCAATTACGTGAGTGGCTGCCTTATTTAGCATGTAATTCACGTAACAAAACTATTAAGCAGCAAGGAAATAAGAAGAAACCTGGTTATAAATGATATCAATGTTTCCTAAGACATAATTTTTAATGAAGTGACCGTTTAGTGTTGTCGTGACGTCACTGGGGGGTCGCCCGGCACGCGATCACTTACTTGTTGATGCGAACGTTTTCTATACCGATTCACTATTAAGTTTGTTCGTGCAATGATGGCTGGATGATGGCGATTTGAATGATACTCACTTTAAGTTGTTGAATATCTGATAACTTTTTATAATAACAATTTTGTAACGAAATATTGTTTAATAAAATTTAATATTTTTTAAGGAGAGGAGTTTGTAAGCACGTTTAGGTTGCGATGCGGAGGTTAATAAAGGCTTTCTAAAGACCGATTATTGTTATCAACAAATTTATTATTTAGAACGCATCCGCTTTAAATGGAAGGTTAAACTGTTGCTGTTGGTGGTGTATGTACACAGTAGTTAGAACCAATTAATCCGCATTGACTCAACTTGGTCGGTTGCTTTGACTACATTTATATGGAAGGCCTGTGCCGCAGAAGTGACACCACTTCAAACCTAAATTACACTCTTAAACTACATATAGGTATATATATTATACCTCCATTTATTACTAGTATGTGTATGATATCATATATTATTTACACACACAATGTTAGTGTTATTACCTTCTGTAAAATCGATACTGAAACTAATACCACTTCAATTAATCATCGAAAAATATTGCCCTTCTATCGGATACTGTAAACGCCATCCATTTAGATTATATTGTGTTGCGAGCGAGCCTCGCCGGCCACCAGCCATAGGTCCAATGTATGAAGGCGATTGTTTAAACTAATACAATGCTATTATTTGCTAATCAAGTTGAACTATATCGAGCTGTTGAAAATATGTGAAGGGGTACCTAATAAGGGGTATTTTCAAATTGACTGGTGACTCTACAATTTTAATCTGAATTTGTCTATACTAATATTATAAAGATGAAAGACTTGATTGTTTGTTTGTTTGCATCGAATAGCATCTGGAAGACGTGGACCGATTAAAAAAAAAATCATCTACGGATAGCTACATAATACGGGGTTGACATATGCTTATTTTGTACTATAAAAGGCAAAGGTGAAAATTAACTTTATACGAGTATATATGCCATAAATGTTATGGAATATAGAACTGATATGTAATCAGTTCAAAATTTAGTATATAGGTCATCCTTTATTCAATCTAGACTATTTTCAGCACTCGTGAAAGTCGAAACTTTGCCATTGTTTCGTAAATCATGTACCAAGAAGAAGCGGTAAGAACCTCGGCATGGGCAGCTGCTTCCTGTTTTATTTTTCATACATAGATTTTGAATTGAGAAATTAGGTACTTCATAAAATTATGAAGTCACTTTGCATCTAAATATTAAAAATGAAAAAAAAAAGATTCAATTGCCGTGTAAAACAAATGTAATGTGTGTTATTTATCGAATCAATCGATTAGTATAATTATGTAACCGAATGTTATGGATTGGTCAATTTCGTTCATTTGTTTTTGGTATCAAGTTTCTGTACTATAAGCATGTGTAAATTACATGTTATATTACATATATTCTCTAGAATTTATTGCTTTATTAGGATGTTGGGATTAATTCCCAAAAATAAGGACAAAAACTTGCTCTGGTCATAAATATTGAAAATTTGTCTCGTTTTATGTGTATGAAAAGGGAATGTTTATACGAGGGTCAAACTGAAAGTTCTTAGAACTGGCCACTTATAAACAATATAATAAAAAAATAATTCTAAAATTTAAAAATATAACTCTTTGCCAATATTACTGAGTATATATTTCATTCATTTGTCATTTGTTTTACGATTTGGCGGCAAATTGAAAATTGTCTGTGTCACGTCATGAATTTAACACGAGAAAATTTTCGTGCAATGATTTTTTATGACTTTCGATGTCATTTAAGTCAACAAGAAAGTTATGATAGACTACGATTGGCCTTTCACGATGAAGCCCCATCTCGTGCGACTGTTTACAACTGGTTTAATGAGTTTAAACGTGGTCGCACTAATCTCACTGATGATTTACGTGAGGGACGGCCTTCTACGGCGACGACTGAAGATAACATCTGTGTTGTGCGGCGTATGATAGAGACTGACAAAAGAGTGACCTATCAACAGATTCGGACAAGCTTAGGCATCGGTATGAGTCAAGTGCACAAAATCCTCCACGAACATTTAGCGGTCAGGAAGCTTTGCGCCCGGTGGATACCTCATAATTTGACTGAGGCTCAAAAACTCCATCGTGTGGATTGGTGTCGTAAAATGATTGAAAGATTTAACGGAGGTGACTCAAATGCTGTGTTCGACATACTAACAGGTGACGAAAGCTGGATTTACTGTTATGATCCTAAAACCAAAAGACAATCTGCTCAGTGGGTGTTTCCTTTCGAGGAGTTGCCAACTAAAGTGAAGAGAGATCGAAGTGCGGGAAAAAAATCGTGGCCTCGTTCTTTGGAAGGATAGGTCATTTTGCAAAAATTGTGTTAGAGGATCAAAAAACAGTTTCTGCAGAATGGTACACTACCAATTGTTTGCCACTTGTCTTGGAAAAAGTTCGAGAGAAACGACCTCGCAGTAGGATCCTCCTTCACCACGACAACGCCTCGTCGCACACCGCCAAGCGAACGATCGACTATTTGGCGACATCAAACGTTGAATTACTGGGTCACCCGCCGTATAGCCCCGACCTCGCGCCTTGTGATTTTTATTTATTTCCAAAAATTAAAGAAAAACTTAAAGGAAAGCGGTTTATGAATGCTGAAGAAGCGGTGGCTGCGTATCGCGATGCCATTGAAGAGACCCCTAAGGACGAGTGGGCAAAGTGCTTTTCCCAGTGGTTCCATCGCATGCAGCGGTGTATTGACGTGAATGGACAATATTTTGAAAAGATATAATAAAACTAATAACTGGCTAATGTAATCAGTTTTTGATTTTCTAAGAACTTTCAGTTTGACCCTCGTATAAGTAATTTATGACAAAATTATTGATATATCATTAAATGAAATATAACGTAGACATAGAATAGACGAAAGAAAAAATATAGAATGTGTCAATCGTTTGTCAAGTCGCGTGTGTTGTAAGTTTAACCTGACTGAGGGGCTGATAACTAGGGTCGCCATATTTGTTATAAAGATTTTAATTTTATGACGACCTCCGTAGTCGAGTGGCTCGCAGGCCAGTTTCAAGGTACCGCTGAGGTACCGGGTTCGATTCCTGGTTGGTTCAATGTAGAAAATTGACTTTTCTATATTGTCACGGATCTGGGTGTTGTGGTACCTTTGTTGCCTCAGACACTCCATAATACGGGGAATTTATCTAGGTATTTGAGCAATATACGTGATGTCTAATAATAATTTATTTCATATTTGAAATCTTGGTAAGTAACCTGTCATTATTTAAGCGTCGTTGACGACACTTCAGATATTAGTTTTGCCCTATAGCGAAATAAAAAAAAATACGTAAAAAAATATTGTAATCATTATTTTATTTACAAAAAATTATAGTAAACAGAAACAACCACTATAACAAACACTATATTCTCACCGTGAAACATTCACTCCTTGGAATTGTCTTATGTTTTTTTTTTTTTTTTTTAATATAGCATGTTCCCCCACTTTTGAGCAGGCTGTCTTATTTTTCTCTTTTTGTTTTTTTATGCTTGTTGTTATGTTTTTCTTTTTTTTACAGACCTGGTTGGTCTGTTGTCTTGGATTGTCTTATGTTAATTAGTTAGGTTTGATTCTAACATTGTTTGCTGCTCATTAAGCCTTTGGGCACACCGAGGTAAACATAATAATAGTCGGGGGTCGTCCATGATGGGTGCGTCGTTTGACAATTTGTGGCCGGAGTCTGGTAGTGAGGCGGATACATAGGCTGCTGACTGGTGAGGTATTGGTTCGAAGGTTGCTGATATTGGTACGGAGGCGGCTGGGTTTGTTGTGCAAGTGGCTGAGGTTGATGCGGAAGTGGGTGAGGTTGTTGCGGAAGCGGTTGATGTTGTTGGGGAAGCGGCTGATGTTGTTGGGGAAGCTGTTGAGGTTGTTGCGGAAGCAGTTGAGGTTGTTGCGGAAATGGCTGAGGTTGTTGCGGAAGTGGCTGAGGTTGTAGAGGAGGTCGTTGGGGTTGGAGAACCTGAGGTTGAAGTGGAGGTTGTGGATATTCAACCGCAGGTGGCTGATATTGAAGTGGTGGCTGCTGATATTGAGGTTGAGGTTGCTGGGATTGTACCAGAGGTTGCTGGGATTGGGGCGAAGGTTGTTGGTATTGTCGCGGGGGTTGCTGATATTGGAGCGGAGTTGATTGATATGGGGTTTGGTATCGGTATTGAAGACAAGGGATAGGACACATTGGCATGCATGGCGTACACATCTGAACTAATGGTCTATAGGTGGTCTTAGGACGGGCCGTTTTTAGTCGCCTGTGGAACAATAGAAATGTTATGTTTTGCACATGGGTGGCATCATCACCGTAGAGCCTCCTTTATGAGTTCTATTCTATAAGGAGGCAAAGTGCAAATTATTTGTGCTTGCATTGCGCATACAAATTGATTGGTTGCGTTTAATATGTATCGTAATTAACTAAGCATTCATTGTCTTTGAGTTGCTATAATAACTACCTCGGAAAAAACTGCCATTATAAACTTATTGCAGATAAAAAGAACAATTTTTAATCTATTTGACTTATTGTTCCAGTCGATTATATTTTATTTAATAATTATCTCCGAAGAAGTAACTTCTTGTAATAGTTTCTGTTTACATTATTGATTTATATGTAGAATATATTAAACCTCATATACTGTATAAGTACCCAATTTAGTAATTTCAGTCCGTTGCCTGAGCTACTAATACAGATTAACGAATTGTAGATGATCCGACTCTATTAATGTGCGAACCTTAATATATTTTATTAAATTGAAATATGTTTCTCATCATACATTACATGTAAATGAATGTGAGAGACTTGACGGCGGAGAGCTCAATAGCGTATTGATTAGCGTGTTTGCTGTCTTTGCTGGCTCAACTTTGATTGCAAAGGTTAAATCTTAAGGCTGCGGGACCAACTATTTATTATCCTGAGCTCCTTTGGGCTTGGGCAGTACGTTGATCCCGCCCGTTGTATCTGCAGTAGTTAACATTCACCAATATGTACTGAGCCGGCGAGTTGGGTCATATTCAAAACGCAGGAAGGCTGACAATGATGATGAAACAGATATATTTTAAGGTCGACTGTTAATTTAACTTACTTGCACATTGGGATCGGGGGACATGGTTTTTGGGTTGTGGTGGTGGATGTGGTCGATGTGGTTCTTATGAGCCTTTCGGTTTGCTCTTCTTCGTATTCGCACGGTGGTGGCGTTGGACAACCCTCGGGATACTCCATATATTCATCGTATTGATTAGTAGCATCTGGAGATAATCATATTAAATTATACTAATACCCTCTACTTCTTTCATCTACCCTCGTATGAACAAGATAAACCCAGAAACTATTTAGTGTATTTTTATACACCTTTCACCGATACACAGAATAATTTAATGAGGAACGGTTATGTATTTGAATTGTTTAGGGTCATTATGAGATTACTGCATGTTATTTGCCTTTGCGTAAAGGTGGACATTATTTAATTCAGAGAGCTCTGTTGATAAAAAATGTTTTTATTTGATGTAGTTTAGGACGGTTGCTCCGCCTTAAAACTGTATATAATGTTAGTGCTTATTCTAATGCATAAAATTTTTCTTTAAAGTAACTAAACTAATGATAATATTTCTTCAACTATTTGATATTTCTCTGATGGACATGATGAACGGTATTTTAATAATAGATAAAAAATGAGTTTTGTTATTACATTGCGGCTGTGGTGAATAAGCCTGTGGTGATTGCGGCTGTGGATAACGCGCTTGTGATGATTGTGTCTCTGGGAACTGCGCCTGTGGTGAATGCGCCTGTGGTGGATACTCCTGTGGTGGATACTCCTGAGGTGGATACTCTTGTGGTGGCTGATCTTGTGGTGACGGATCATCAAATACATCCTGCATTAAGTTGCTCCACGGTCCGGCTAACCTCGGGCTCACGGTGTTCGTACTCGTAGATGTAATGCTTCTTTCCTAAGGTTATACCTTCATCAGCTCATACCTTGTATCAATTTAAAAGTATTTAATTAAAACTTTTATTCATTTTATATTCCTCTTTTTATATCTATTTTTTATTCCTTTTTTATGGATTTAAAACTATGAATCTTAAATTTTATATCTCGCAGTCACAAATTGCTGTTTTCAAGGATTTTGTGCACGCGAAAAGAAAACTTATTTAGAAAACGCATTTACAATACATTTATTGAAATGTCCGGCCTACATCAGTAAAGCTTTCAACCAAAATTATCGGATGAAGAAATTGTGGAAGAATGATTTTCCTTCTTAATATATCTCACATTTTTTTTGCAAAAATAATGTGAAGGAGACAACATTACCATACGTCTCAGTTGACACTCTTGGCACATAGCGCAGTGCACTTGCACCAGTACGGGATGTTGGCGTTTCTCACGGCAGTTACGGCATGCTGCTGCGCAGTCCATGAACGCGTAACACGACGGCAAGATGGCCGCCACCACCAGCAGAAGAAGCATTAACAGTCCTTCCTTGTTCCTCTATTACGTTATTGACGAAAACCAATCATATAACAGAGCTTGACTCCTACACTGGATTTTTTAATTTACGTTATATTATAGTATTTATACATAGATGATATTTTTATAGACACACACCAACTTTTTCCTTTCTTTATGTATTTGACTTGTTTACCTCGTGTTGACTGAAATTGATATGGTCTGTAGGTATTGAATTAAAATCGAGTTTACGATTATTTGTAATGTGTTTATATAAATCGTATATTTACGATTTTATTATATAAAAGTTGAATTCGTTGCGAGTTTTACAGTCGATGTCGCTTTTGCTTTTTATTTGAATAAGTTGTGTAGATTTTTTAAATGGACATTGATTAAATCACATATCTCGCATTAGATTGCTTCCAAACTAGTAATTTAATAAATTCGCATTTATAGGTTCTATGATAAAATTCCATTGAGAAGATATCTACATTGTGCTAATACTATTTCCACTTTCTAAACAAGACTAAACAAAATGTTATTATTTTATTCTGTATACTATTATATATTAAGTTTATTTCAATATAATAAATATAGTCTAGGTTGTTTAATATAATGGCTATCATTCGCTGATAATTTTTAAATATATTCTTGTCCTGTAACTCTTGGTGGATGGATTATTATTTATTTTAATTACCTTATATTATTAAAATTACACAATTAAATGCCATTCGTCTTGTTAAAGTTAGAAATACAATTATGTTGATTATAATAGTGAATATTATAAAGGAACTTCCTAATATGGAACTATTGAAGTAGTCACCGGTGATCATGGTAACCAGTGAACTGTGCTAGTTGGTACGACGGCACAATTATGGCCAATCGATATGTCAGCCTTTGATGCATGTGTCCGATGCTTGCTCGGTACCTACGCTTCAAGGGTGGGTTTTCATAGATAGTTTTACCAATATTTACCGATGACGCGCTCGAATATACAACGACCAAAAATATACAACGGCAAAGGTTTTACATTTCAAGGATTTTTGAAGTTTCGCTTACACTCTTATTGGTAGACGATGTGTTGGAAGCAATAGGAGGATTGAAGTTTATTGGAAAATTCTATGTATTATTTTTAATAGATTCTTATAATTTTTAACCCCCGACGAGAAACGAAAAAGAGGGGTGTTATAAGTTTGACCCTTTGTCTGTATTCGTATATATATTTCTGTGTCTGTGGCATCGTAGCTCCCGAACGGATGGACCGCTTTCAGTGCGGTTTTCTTTATTCGAAAGATAATTTAATGACGATGGTCCTTGGCTGTGTTTGGTCAAAATCCGTCATGCCGTGGAAGCTTACTCTGTTTTACTGGCAAATGTTGAGGTATTTGGCATTTGCACCCTAGTCGTGTTTGGGCTCATTTTAAACAGAACTACATTTCATGTTTATTACATAGTTCAGTTTGATAAGGTAGTTTAATTTTTACAAAAAAGAAAAAAATATTTCATGAACCTTTAATAAGTTGGGTACTACCTATTTAATTTAAGAATAGTATTACAATTGTTTGCTGTTTCATTTATGAATAAAACTATAAAAAAGCTTGAATGAAATAGAAAAAAAAAACTAAAATAAAAAATTGATTTCAAATTTTTAATTAACATTTTCTTTTTAAACTGAAGTGTTGATGAATGTAGAACATTTATTGTCCAATACCTTTTGTATTTGAACTTCTAACAGCACTGATCTTACCACTTTATATATGTGTTAACAGTGACGCCATTTTTGTTTTAGTACAAATAATTGGGTAGGTACATACAATAATACCACAAGTTTAATCGAAGAACAATAGAATCATAGAAGTCATATATAGGTATATCAAATTACTTTAGTAAGCTATTTGTATGCGAGGATGATTGGGCGGACGTGACGCGACCGCTAACGTAGTGCTGCTGGGGTTTGATTCCTCGCGCTACTAAAGTTTTATTAGCAGTTGCTAATATAACTTTAGTAGAAGAGTTCGTCGTGCATTATTTTAATGCAAAAGTTGTTTGTAGTTTAAGACACGCTTATCGATCGTGCTTTGTTTGAATATCTTCATGACTTAGGCATGGTATGAATATGACATGTTCAACCATCATCTTGTTGCTTTAAAAAATATACCATAATTATTATTCATATAATTGATTTAATATTATTTATATAAATTAATTTTATTTATACAGAATTATACATTTTAACCAGAGGTAAATATCTCCGTGAATTGCTCCGTTAAACGGTGATAACTTTATAGAATTATATTCGATGGTTTTTGAATTGATTCCGCTTAGATAGACATGCGGTTGGGAAATTTAATTTACTTTAAACAGGCATTTTACTGGACTAAAGGGAAACTTCCTCCCTCTGGTTTGGGTGCTACTGCCCGGAGACCGTGGTCTAATCTAACCGATGTAAAAGTCGTATGTTTAACCTTGCTTTCTTTGAAGGGTTAAGGAAGAAACAGTAGCTGATCGTACCGTGGCTCAATTTAGTAGCAATCATATAAAACTTACATTTTGACAAATGTAATCCTTTAAAAACACTTAACACAGCGATTAAGAGTCTTATATCGCCATCGATTAGTTTCCAAATAAATTAAAATGACAATTACTTACCATAAATAACATATTTTCATTATCATAACTTGACAGCTTAACCACCATAGTTAATAAAACCCAGTGCAACGTTTAAAACGTATGTATGTAAGTAGGCGTAGTAGTCTTTTTAAGCGCGATGCAGGCTGTTCAACACGTAAATGTAATAAGTACTTCGTATGTCGCCTATCAGGAGCCGCTTTATGTTTCCCGTTAGAGCGAACTATAGTATACGTATTCCTATATACAACAAGTCCTAAAGGATATCACAATTACCCTGACACCGGCCTTTTGTTTCGCTGCCTTTGTTCCTTAATTTCCAACCTGTATTATATTAAAGGGTATCTATGTTGTTTGCCATATCAGAAAACAATATTGATAGATGTGTGAGGAATATGGCTCAACTTAAAAAGTAATAATTTCATTTTTGTCTCATCTCATATACTTCTTAAGTGGTTTCTTTATAAGAATTGAAATTCAATTGTGACCGTGTGCTTATATTTATTTGTGTGTTGTTTCAGGGATCAAATGTCCTGTGTGCAGCAAGTTCGTGTTGCCGGACGACATCGAGTGCCATCTGGTCATGTGCCTCACCAGGCCAAGACTCTCATATAATGGTCAGTATATTCAGACGTAACCAATTCGGGGATGGATACAGTAAGTTCCAAATGATATGGCGCATGGTGAATTTTCATTTGCGCATAGCAGATTTATCAATGAAGGCTACCGTTTGTTTTCTTCACCAGATGGCGTGACAGTCGCGAGAGGTCTTTCAGTTTATTTTACTACAAGCGTGAATTTAAATCGTACATCCAGTTTTTTTTTGGCTTTTCTTACAACTTGCTTAAATTTTCAATTCCTTCACTTCTGTTTTCTGTGTATCTATGTCCCCGTTTTTAAAGTACTGTCAGTTATTGACCCATTAATTCATAATTGCTTTAATGAATTTCGGTAAAGCAATTTTGTTTATATAAAACAGTATTAAATATACTTTCAGCCACTTGTTTCGAAAAGACTAAACGAGAATTTAAATTAGTTTATGAAGTCTTGATAAAGTTATATGAATACTTAAGTAAAGTTGGAGTTTTATGTCATACCAAAAATGTATTATAATTACAATATACCGAACCGAGCTCTACTGCGGCTGTCACTGTGAAAAACTTTGAAAAATACCTACTTATAATTTGAAGCATAGAAAAAAAAAATCCGTATATAATTATTATTACATAGTATTCTATGAACATTTCAGGCTTGTGGTGGATGGACAGTGTCACATAATTATATTAGAAACTTTAAAAAGCATTATTCAAATAATGTAAATATCCAAACAAAGACCGTTCATTCGAATTATAAAAAAGAGGAATGTGATTTCGATGAGGCAATAAAAATGTATTGTTCTTAAAATAAAGAAAAAAGAAAGAAGTTATAACGAAACGTAACAAGCGGGTGAGATTATGAAACGATAGCGTTTAATTTAGTTATCTCGGCTCCTTAACATAAGTCGCAAACACTGGTCTTGATTGATTTATAAGTAACTTGACGAGTTAATTGGGAATATAAAGTAGAAAAGCTGACCAATTACGAATCGACCTCTAGTACGTAGGGGTCCTTTCATAAAAAAAAAGCTCCTGAATATGTATTTTATTCTGTTTTTAGTATGTGTTGTTAAAGCGATAACAGAAATACATCATCTGTGAAAATTTCAATCGTCTTACTATCACAGTTTCTGTGACAGACGGGTAGACAGACAGACAGCGGAGTCTTAGTAATAGGGTTCCCGTTTTACCTTTTGAGTACGGCACGGATTTAAATTAAAATACCAATTTAATTCTGCCCCGACAATTAAAAAAAAATTAAAAGATTTTATTCTTGTCTGTATATAACGTAATACGTTATTAATGTTGACCGTTGTTGTATTCCAGAGGATGTATTGAGTGACTCCAAAGGGGAATGTGTGATCTGCCTGGAGGAGTTGTCGGCGGGGGACACTATAGCGCGCCTGCCCTGCCTCTGCATCTACCACAAGGGGTAATTATTTATATCTACCTTCTACTAGACCTGTGCGGTACATATCGACGCCGAAAAGAGGGTAGAGCCAGCATAGCCAAAATTGTTTATCAGATAAAAAAACTTTATGGTCACGTTGTTAAGATCTTTTACTTTTCTCTGAAGTACAATTTTGGTTTTGCAAGCAATTTGTAATTTTTTACGTATAATTAATTAATATTGTAATTATTAAACTCATAATGAAATAGTCTGCTTGTTATCTGTTATACATAATTAATTTTCTCATTATTGACCTCGTAATTAATGACATAGTCTTTGTGAAATTTGTTACTTCTGTGAGAGCTGATGAGTTTCTTTCGCTCGTTCTTCTTGCCAGGAAAAAATACGTAGCTATAGTTATAAAACATTTTATTGATTTCACCAATGAATCTGTTGATATTCTTTTAAAAATGTAATATTTTTATTATTTATATATTTAATCAAATATATTGGTTTATTTTTCTTTTTCAATTAAGCTTTGTTCATTTGAATTCGATATTTTGTAAATTTAATAATTCAGTAAACTACTAATAAACCATTATTTAGTTATGTAAATAATAAAATTGTTAGACAATTCAAAATTACTTATAATAAGTTTATTTGAATAAAGTTTTTTTTTATTTGTCTGATAAATTGATCGCCACAATCTGTTGGATATGCCCAGATATTGGTTTTGCCATCTCTTTTACTAGTATTTCTCTTCACCCATCCTACATATGTATGCAGACGCGTGTGCCACATGCAATTTTAATTCTGATCAGCTTGTCTAATAGCAAGTTACTCAAACTTAGTACTAAACGATTAGATAGCGCAGTGGTTAGTGCGATTTCGGAGATTTTCGCAAAGGCCAGTCATCAGAAGGGTAACCACAATTTATTAACTCGAGCTTCTAGGTGCTTCGGAAGCCGCGTTATACTGTCGGTCTTCATTACTGTATCTGGGAATGTTATGATTTTTATTATATTCATAAGGAAGTTCTATGCTCCAGCAGTGGAGATATTTATTATGATTGCTTAAGATTGTATCAGATAACTGTAAATTAATTGCTTTGTACTAGCTACTATATGCGTATGCAAGTGGCTCGATAAATATCTTTTATACCCACTTTTCATAAAAGCTTAAGTAAAAGTAAAGCTGTCGGCTATCTGAATTACATTCTGTATTATGATTGCTACAAAATATCAAATTTCGTCTCTTTCGACTTGGAGATTTCATCCTTTGATATTCAAGTTAAAAATTGATTGCAGATATTATATTGCAGGCTTTTTGGAGATAAAGACCGAAGTATGATACAAATAACCATCTTGTGTTGAGTTTGACAAAACAAGTATAAAGTATAAGTATATGAGGGAGTTGCGAGTTACAAAGCAAGCGCCCGATCAAAGGGATGCAGATAATATACTCGATAATACCGACCCACTCCTATCTAGATTGCTGAGGGTCTAAATCTAGGTCATGATGCCTACCACATTGTGTGAATTATTTTATTAAACATCAATATTATAATTATATCTATGAGAAATTAAGAGGTCAAAAAATTATTTTTAATAAAAAAAAAATAGACTGACGGACAAGTTCACCATTTCAAAGAGTTGTTATCACGCTCTTTTCAAAGAGTCGTCTTCGGGTTCGATTTCTGGTTCAGTCAATGTAGAAAATGATATTTTTTACGTTCGTTTTTCAGATAAATCGTAGTAAGAGGGCTTTGGGTTTTTATTTATCTTGAAATCAGAGCAATGTATGTGTGTTGTCTAATAAACAGGGCGTTCGGTAAAGATTTTTTAGATATTTGAAGAGCATTATAGCCATACGTCTCATGTTCCAAGTGTCACGATAAAACTTTTTTTTTTCGTTGTTATTATGAAATTATCCAAAATTAGTTCTTGATCCTACAAATCTTTAAAAAAAATGTGTCGATCCAAGCACCAAACATCCTGTATTTCTGAGTTGTGTGAAGTGCTGACGTTGATAACTAACCGTGTATATCGTTTGTTTTCCAGATGTATAGACCAATGGTTCGAAGTGAACAGATCGTGCCCGGAGCACCCCGGCGACTAGTGCGTGCGCCGGCGCCGGTACAACGCGTGCCATGAGTCGCGAGTGATACTTTTATACAATGAACAGACTGTCGCCCCGAGGGCATTGTAAATATTAAATACTTATATGCTAGTGAAATGTTTTACCGTTTAATGATGATTAAAATAAACAAAAAATGATTTAAAACAAAGACAATTATAGGAGATTGCTATGGGGGAAATCTATGGTGGAGTTGGATACTGTCGATCATAAATTGTACATCATTTAGTTTCGGACGCTAAAAATGTCGATAGTTTGGTTTTTGTTTTTTTTTATATATATATATATTTAATTATCATAAATATACGCAATATGGAGTTCAGCTCTAGTAGTCATATAGCTGACTTTCTATTCGTTTAAACGCAAAATTGAAAAATAAGCATACACTCTAAAATTATGTGCTATAGGCTTATAAACCATATTAAAAAATGTTTACAACATATAATTTAATAGTTTTTGATTCTAGTCAAAATTCTGATTATTCAAAATGGTAGCCTGCATACAATATAGGGTTCTTTCAGCTATCATTTAAATCCATAAAAAAGTCTTTGTAATCATAACGAATAGAGAGTGGGCTATATGTAGAGATGCTGAGGCATGCGCATGCGCACGTGAGTGTATGCGCATACGCATGCTACGTCGTTCGTTTGCAGTGGAGGAGGTGTAAACGCGACGGGTTTCATTAGTCACTGTGATCTGTCTCGCGGTTTACATATCTGTTTCGTAAGCTTATAATTAATAATAATAATATATATGATATATGATTTGATCTTTTTCATCTTGGATAAATAAAGTTGATTTGTTTCTAAATTTTCTAAGATTGTTTCATTTTATTTATATGCCAATAAAATTGTTTATTATAAATATTTTTGTTGTTTCCCTTACCTGTGAGTGTTTAGTCGTAAATATTTAATATAGGTATCTTGGAAATCTGTGGTCTAATTGTCTAATTTAAAATCTATGTGATCCCTTTCAAAGGTGTACCAAGTTATGGAATTATGTAACGTTAAAGTCGCAATTGCTTTCAGATGATTTATATGATCTAGAAACATAACAAAAACTTAGTAACTTAAACTTAATATAATCTTATTAACGTCAAATTAACGACATTCATTCTACATCTTTCAAATAAACGTTGGGTTCGCAATCGCTAGCACATGTTAAATAGTTGTGGCGTGAAGTTCCTGAATATTTTTCAAATGTAGATTTGAAAAGGATTGCGATAGTTTTTAAAATTAGACAATTTAAAGACAAGTTTTAAAATTATATATTGATTTAAATAAAGTTGTTAAGTTGGAATTGACGTCTGTGAGAGAGTGACTCGTACGCTGTGCTCATGGTATCTAGAGGTCCCGGGTTCGATTCCCGGTTAAGTTAATGCAGAAAAGAACTTTTAAAAATCGTCTCAAGTTTAGGTTTTATGGTACATTCATTGGTTACTAGTATGTAGGCGTAAAAAGGCTATAGCTACTTAGGATTTATTTATTCATATTCTAATATTTACTTATTTAAAAAAAGTTGCACTGAAATAGGAGGAACGAATGGAGATCTTAAAATCCTTACAATAAAAGACTAGTAAAATTTCAGGATATTTAATAACTTAGATAGCTCTTATTCCTATAAATATAGGGTTCATGTTGCGACGGCATCATCGCATGAAAGAGCGGTGTCTGGGTCCGCGCTGTAACCGCCCTCCCCCCCATCCCGCGCCACCTGACAAAGTCAAAGTTGAAAGTCACGAAAAACATTTCGACAATTGTAGTAGGCTATCATCCGGTTTCTGAATTGAGAATATAAAGTTAAAGCACGTCTCAAATCGCACGTATACCATTCCAAACGTCACTTAAACAGGCTTTCATTTCTGATTTTAATTTTTTTAATAATCAGCTGATGGCAGTTTGATAAAACTAGGTCATTATGCCATGTAAAACGTAATACAATTAAGTTATTGAAAATAATTAGTTGCAATTTTGTACTTTTATCAATTCAGGGACCGGCCGTATATGACTTTATTCCGTGTGTCCATAATGAAGTTTATTTGAATTATCTGATGGATAGAGTTAAGATAATTATTTCAAACTAAGTGGCACTGTGCAAGTATCTGATTGGTCCATCTATTGCCCCTGAAGTGGTTATCTAGAGGTAATACATCTCCAATACTGTTTAAACACTCATTATCAAAAATATATCTGAAAATATGTGTTATAAACAATAGTAACTTATTTCTGATTATGCTTATATCGAAATGCTGGAAAAAATATTCCAGAGATGATAGCAAATATCAATATTCATATAGAGGTCAAGTAAAATTCTTGTATTGGGAATCTAACACTCGTAACTATAGTAGAGAGAACTTATTACTTGAGAAAAAATGCCACAACTCGAGCAGATTTTTAAACCAATAGACTGGAATTTGAATGAAATAAGAACTGTTAATAGCTAATAATAATATTCTTATTATTAAGAGGTCTCATTTGTTAAAATTCTTGTTTATTTGTTAAAATAATGCTTAAGCAATTACTTTTACTCAATCTTTTCCACGATTATATATACGGGTATTAGTTCGATTAACGGTGATAATTGGCATTGCAAATACAATTTTTTCAAGATATTATAGAAAGCGGTAATCACTTGGCGAGAAATTTTATTGAATAGACACATGTTCTAATGCGTTTTAGTGAATTTCGTTTGAAATCTTAAGGGAGTTTTAGATAACACTATGTTATCGCCTAAAACTATAAAGAGCGAACTATAAATATAAATAACCGAATTAAGAAATTGAAAAATGAACGATCAATAACTAAACGGGTTCTTGTATAAAAACCTTATGAAATAAGAGTACAAAATTAACGAAACTACAAACACTAACTATTGTATGAGTATTATTAAAATAGAAAATATGCAAACATATTATACTCACCCATCATATACTGTGAGCTGGGAGCGAAGTGTCCGAAATGCTGCACACCCATCTCCCACGCGCCTCGCCCACGGCTGCAGAATAACAACAATTATTTTTAAAAAAAAACATGAAAAACCACCTGACTGTATAATTATATTTTGATTAATTTTGCATTCACAATGCCATACTGAAAATTATTCTTAATACAAAATGCTTAAAAATTGGACTTGGGCCCTGGCACCCTGAGATGGGAATCGAAATTTCGCAATTCGGGCGACTGCTCTAACCACTTTGTTTGTCCATTGGTGTATTCATTCATTCATGATAATGTATAGAGACTCACATATGCCTGTAGTGGGTGTGTACGGGAGCTGCCGATGCGAATCTGCCGCGGTCCGCCCCCGCGCGACGTCCCCTGTAAATTATAAACATTCACGTCAAAAGGGTTCACATTCTGAACTCTATCACTGTTGAAATAGAGTTCACACTCAGTGTAGTTGTAATTAATTGTTATCTGACTATGTTAATATAAGTCGTAGATACTTGCTGTTGATAATAATACGTCACAAGTGTTGATATTTGAAGTTTTTCACTTGTAACGAATAAGGATAATGGCTTGGTAAAAGAAAAGAAATTCTAATAAGTCCTTTAGTTAGATAATAAAAAAATATAAGATAAGTATTTTTTTTGGCTTCAATTTAATAAGAAATGTCTTATGTAATAGACATTAAAGTTGGGTGCTCACTACGTAACAACTATGTAGGAAATGAGCAACGTGATGTCATACGAATTTTCAATTCAAATATATCGCCATAATTTATTGGTTAAAAGAAAAAATAAATAATACGTGTGATAATATTCTTGAATAATCTACCTGGCGGACTGACAAATAAAAAACATTATTACATTTCTTTCTTTATGTAATTTTAGAGCACGTTAAAAAAATCTTTTACTCATAGCGTGGCAGACTGACTTGATAAAAGTTCTCAATATGGCTGTTTTTACATATCAACGATATCTATATTCCAATGTAAAGTTACTTAATAAAATCTATTTTTGAGTGCACTGTTAACACTCGAGATGTTGATACACCTAGACAGGTACAGACGTACTAGTTTAGTCAGAAGCAGATTTGCAGGTTTGGCGTAGACTAATGTAGTCCTAGCCCCGTTCCCCTATATTAGGTCTCATCATTAAGCCCCTGTACATGAACTTACTTCCTGACGTTTATTGAAACGGATAAAAAAAATAAATGTGATTAAGTCAATTAAAAATATCTTGGATGCAATTTCCAGTGCCTCGTTATTCATATTTTGGTCATTACACAAAATTACATTTACTATAATAGGTCTTTGTTATTATAAGTTTGTACCATTGTTTGCCAGCCCTAATATCAGACCGACCTAGGCCTGAACCCCAGGGCCAGTGGCCTGTAAGGGTAAATCTGCCACCGAGTTTAGAATTATATAGTGTGTGATGACGTCACCTGTTCATAGGCATTGGCATGGGCGTGTATATGGTGTGTAGAGCGGTAAAGTCGTCCACGTGGAGGGAGGGGGGGCGCGAGGTGTTGGGGGGCCGCGACCTGAACGCGTCCACCTCGCGGACTAAACTCAGCGCCACTGTACATACAGACACATACACATGTATTACATTATACAATGATATAACAATAAAACCTGTGACCTTAAAACTATGCTAATTAGGAGTAGCATACCTGAGCGCAGTCTGACGCATGCGTTGATTGTACGCGTTTATGTAACTTAATAATTTTAAAAGGACGTCGTCTAAAGATCAAGGAGTTACATTTAATTCGTCAGTATATATTTTTAATTGCTTTGCATTTTAATCAGAAAAATAAATATTGTTATTGAAAATTGCTTAAAAAATCCACTTTGTCCCTAGCACTCTGAGATACATACTCTGAGGTACATGGTACAATTAAAAACATAAAATTAGAATAAATCATATGGTACAACTTGATAAATTAACATAAAAATCAAGAAAAAAATTGAGGAATATAACGTGGTACCCAATCGTCTCAAAACGATTAGTCCAAAGTCAAAATAATCGTCAGATTTCTTCCTCATATATACGTCTCTGTATTCGCTTAGAGTAGAACAATAAAGCGATCTTTAGGTATGTATGTATTCTCTAGATATGAGATAGTGTCTGTAAATAGCGGTCGTTAGTTATGATGTAACATAAATACCTGGAGGTCTCTAGGTATGATGTATATGGCGGTCTCTAATTATAAGGTACCGTCAATAACTGGAGGTCTCTAGATATTATGTAGCCTCAGTAACTGGCGGTCTCTAGTTACGATGTATCGTCAGTACCTGGCGGTCTCTAGTTATGATGTAGCATCAGTACCCGGCGGTCTCTAGTTAAGATATAGCGTCAGTACCTGGCGGTCTCCAGTTATGATGTAACGTAAGTACCTGACGGTCTCTAGTTATGATGTAGCGTCAGTACCTGGCGGTCTCTTGTCGTCCTGTGGAGGGTCTGGTCTGGCATCAACACATCCGGCGAGTCGTCTGACGGCCGCCACTATGCCCTCCGCGCCCCCTGCGCTTATTAGCTGCCCACGCGCTATCTCCATTATATCACACGACACCTGCACATCATTTCTTATTATAAATTTAAAAAATTGGGCCTGGTGGTAGTTTACGGTAGCCAGGGGTAAAATGTGTTTTTTAAATAATTTAATTTAATAAAAATTAACGTTACCATATAATATAAAAAAATCGTATTGTAAATGTGTCCAATAGTATTGTTTAGAAGGTAGCAATACTCTTAATTAAAAATACAATAAACACCTTAGACTTATGTGAACACGGTACCTGTAAAGGGTCCGAAACGTCATAAAAGATAATACGCACACAATGAACTGTTTAGAGTTGTTTTATTTAATGGATAGTGCGCGTAAAAATATAAGAAATCAATATATACCCTACTGTATTAACTAGCTGTCCCGACAGACATTATTCTGCTTTATTTCTCTAAAATAAAGTAACGTTGATTTGTTTCATGTTAATCACAGCCCATACAGACATCGTTTTTTTTCGCATGATTGTAACGTCAAATGCTTGATAGCTGCCGGGGAGTGTTTTTTTGTATGGGATAAGAAATTTATTATTTTCCTCTTACTTTTTAATTTTTTTCTTTTATAACAACTTTAAATTACCGATCAACCTATTAAAGATTACTTGTAATACCGAGTATTAGACACGATTTTACACTGGCCTGATAATGCAGCGCGATAGTTTAAAGTGAATATAATTAAAATAAATCCGTCGCACGACTTGCTGCCGCCACATTATTAAAGTGAGAAGTGCTCACTTTATTTTCACTTAACATTTCACGTCTAAATACAAAAAGTCGTTCACTATTCCACGTCGTATAACTTAACTTATGGAATATATGTAAAAGTTTTAAGAAAGGAATAAAATATTTTTTATTGTTTTGATTAATCTTAACGTAAGAAAACGTGTTTATTTAAATTGATAGGTTGCTCAAATTTAAATCTGGGGGTACGAAAGTCCTTTCTCGATGCCATTATTCGGGCCTTTTAAAACCATTGACACTTTATTCTGGAATAAACTAGAAGCTTAAATTTTCAGTGATCAAGAGGCCGGTACATTACGAGGCCTTTAAGAATTATTGAGAGTTAAATTTCCATAAATTTTTCACCGACTGACTCACGGAACATCAAAATTTTAAGGTACTTCTAGCAGACCCACAGGAACTTTGAATACAGCTATTATTTAGTAATAATAATAATAATCTTTATTGACTATATAATTGATACAATGAATTTCCACACCAGTGATTCTTATAATACTTTTCATTAATATTTATTTATCATCTGTTGCTGAACTTGGTTGATACCTGTATTTCTGCATACAGCGCCTTTGTCCTCAGAAAATATGCAATAAAAATAAAAATATATAAAGTAAGGAAATATTAGACCCGTTATTTTTTTGGATTTTCAACAACTGTATAGCATTTTGAAGAAATCCGTCAACACGTTGCTTATATCATCATCACTTCAGCCGAGAGACGCCCACTGCTGGGCATAGGCCTCCCCCAAAGATTTCCAAAGCGATCGGTCCTGCGCCTCCCGCATCCAGCGGCTTCCCGCGACCTTTACCAGATCGTCGGTCCACCTTGTGGGGGGCCTACCAACACTGCGTCTCCCGGTACGCGGTCGCCACTCCAGGATCTTACCGCCCCAACGGCCGTCAGTCCTGCGAGCGATGTGCCCTGCCCACTGCCATTTGAGGTTCGCAATTCTTTAGGCTATGTCGGTGACTTTCGTTCTTCTGCGGATCTCATCGTTTCTGATTCGATCTCGCAAAGAAACCCCGAGCATAGCCCTTTCCTTTGCCCTCTGGGCGACTTTGAGCTTCCTTATGAGGCCCATCGTAAGCGGCCACGTCTCAGTACCGTATGTCATCACTGGCAACACGCACGAATTAAAGACTTTCGTCTTGAGACACTGCGGTAGATGTTCCGAGAATACACTGCGTAGCTTCCCGAACGCTGCCCAGCCGAGTTGGATCCGTCGATTTACCTCTCTCTGGAAGTTGGACTTACCTAATCGGACTATTTGTCCCAGGTAAACGTACTCGTCGACAGCTTCCAGTGTAGAGCCTCCAACATTCACTGGAGTGGGTACGACATGGGAGTTTGACATTATTTTTGTCTTCTCCATGTTCATTTTAAGACCCACTTGCTGGGAAACTCTACAGAGGTCTTCGAGCATTGTGCCTAGATCTTCCATGGTCTCAGCCATGACTACGATATCATCAGCGAAACGAAGGTGCGTCATGTACTCGCCGTTTATATTGATGCCAAGTCCTCTCCAGTCCAAAAGCTTAAACACGTCCTCCAGTGCGGCAGTGAACAGTTTCGGCGATATAACGTCGCCCTGTCTCACTCCACGCTGAAGTCGTATTGCTTTCGAGTTTTGGTCCTGGAGCCGAACTGTCATGGTGGCGTTTTCATACAGTCACTGCAGCACTTGGATGTATCGATAGTCTATTTGGCACCTCTGGAGTGACCTAAGCACGGCCCAGGTCTCGACAGAGTCGAAGGCTTTCTCATAGTCCACAAACGCCAAGCACAGTGGCAGATTATACTCCTCGGTCTTCTGTATAACCTGTCGCAGCGTATGAATGTGGTCTATGGTACTGTAACCTTTTTGGAAACCGGCTTGTTCAGGAGGCTGGAAGTCGTCAAATGCTTAAAAAATGTTTATATAAAAAAACATTTTTTGTAACAAAGTAAATTGCTAAATGAGATTAAGAAATGAATAAATCTCACCAATTCATTATCGTTGACGTCATCATCCCCACCGACGGAGGGTACGTTCAGCCAGTAGCTGGACGTGAGCCGTTCATCATTCGGTTCGCCGATGGTGTAAATAATCCTCGCGGAGAATTGCGCCACTAAAGTTTCCGGTGGAGGTAGCGACTCAGCGACATCTAACGGAGGAGTTGAAGGGTCTTCTGGCGCTTTCAACTTCTGCAAGTGAGTTTGGAGGAAACTGGCATTCGCTACGGCGTCCTCGTCAAAGTTTCTCTCCTATACAAGACAATGATTATGAATAGTGGTTGTTCAATGACATACACAATTAAATTTTGATAAACTGTAACTACTGACAGAATTTATTACATTTTTAAGTACAACAATGTAATCATTTTCTGGAATGAAATATTATTATTATAGAACATAATATATGTACATATTTTATTTTAAATATTGTTTTACAAAGAGAATAATCTAAGTTTAGTGATTAAATATGAACGAATTTACTTCCATCATTTAATATTTATATGACCCTTGATCCTATGGCTATATTACAAAAATGAATTGATTTAGTATTATAAAGTTCCTTAAGTGGTCTAGAGACCGAATCAATTAAATATACTAATTAATTTATCTAGATATAAAGTGAGATAACACGAAGGTAACTAAAATATGAATTCAATCTTAAAAAAGGTGTCATCGGGCTCATAGGGTTAATTTAGGACAACGTACCTTCAGGGTCTTCTCCAATGTCAATACCGGATGGTCTTCGTCATTGAACGAGTAACCCACCATATCAGCCATTTCGTTTACAAGCAACACAGATTTCCTCCCCACGGGACCCTCGCCTTCTTCCACTTTCAGGATCCTGATTAGATCTATATACATGCTGAGACAAACGGCTCTGTCTTCACCGAGGCCTAGTAACGCCCATTTAAAGAATTTTCCCAAAGATTCTCGTTTCTTCGTAACAAACTTCCTGAATTGCTGGAAACCATGCTCGTGGTCGGTTAGCACGAAGTAAGTTCTCAATATTGATGAAGCTACGGCGCAAGTTTTCGACGTAGACTCCAGACAGTCAGCGGAAGCTTCCAAAAACCCAGCCAGAGCATCTTTATTAGGCAAAGAGTTCGCCAGAAGAATGTCCGCGGATGCAGTGAGAGGAGTCAATGATATTTCGATATCGCAAAAAGCCGCTAACGCATGAGCCACGTATTCTTGCGAGGCCGCTTGTTCGTTCGAACCGTGAGCGAGAGTCAACACCGAACATAGCGCCGTCTGTACTTCCGTAGACTTCGGCCCGCCTGTATTCATCATATGTAAAACCGCACATTTCACTGAAGCGTGAGACACCAAACAAGCGAAAAATCCAAGAACGCGAGCCAAACCCGCGGTAGAAGGCTCGTCTTGTTTCAGCTCCTTCAGAACTGCCCCTATAGCTGCCCGGGCGACTGTCGCTGCAGTGTTTGGCGCTAAATCGGCAATTTGCACGCAAACACGACGCAACATATGGACCACGGGTCGGTACGTCGACGTGCATATAACTTGGATCATGTCCGTCAAGTCATTCGACAAAGCGTGCAAGTGCGCCGACCACAGTCGTCTTTCGTTCGAGGCGTCCGCCAATTCCCTATCGGTGGGTATTGTTTTGGTCTGCATTGGCAACGGAAGAGGCAGCAATTCAGAGAACACTAAAAGTCCTGGCACAAAAGTGTACGGAGCTGTCATAGTGTACGATATGACTTCTGAGCAAAGCGATGTCCACGACCCTCGTCGAATAGAATCCCCGTCGTTGGCGTCGTCGGCTATAGGCTGAGCGTAAGCCAGCAATGCTCTCACCGCGGCTTCGGCTGCTTTAGTCGCCGTTCTACACCCTACGGAACCAGCTGGGAACGCTTTTGCGATTCCGTATGTTTTCAAGAGAATAGGAGCGGCAGTCAAGTCACGGAATCTTGGTCCCCGGCAGCGAACTACTCTCGCGAGCATTTCATCAAGCAGTCGCAAACATGGCACCAACATCTGTGCCAGCTGCACTCCCTTTGCGGACGCGAAGGTCGCCGTGTGCATACTTGGTTGCTCGAAATGAGCCGCGAGTCGATCTAGAATCCCCACTAAATGTGCGACACCGTCCAAAGAGAACAGTTGAAGGACGTTGTATTTATATTTTAACTCAACGTACTCTTCTGTAGCCGATTCGGTGGCGATCGAAACGTTGGTATCGTAGTCCGATATACAGAAGTGTCTCAAAATTCTCAAACAAGTCATTAGCTCTCCTGGAAGGTCAGCTGCATGTTCCGCACTAGCTTTCAACATCTCGACGCACTCGGCCAAATCGTCATTCGATTGAAGTAGAGACTTTTCTACGGGTTTCAAATATGGTATCATTTCTTGGAGTATGCTGGACACGCTAGGTTCGAATCGGTCGTGGTCGCTGCACACGTTGGTCAGTCGCTTTCCATATTTTTTTAAGAAAGGGACGTTTGCCGAATATCTTACTGCCGAAACTATTAATTCGATAGCGTAACCTTTGGCGGGAGACTTTTGTTTGGAAGGAGACTCGGTCTTAACCTTAGTTTTCAAATCATTCTCGAAGACATCCATTAAACAATCTGCATTTTCCCCCATGACTATGACGTCGGGTACGGCAGTTTTTCCTATACTCCCAAAACTTAAGCAGTACAAAGATTGCAACCTATCGATTAATTCATTCTCGTCAACTTTTCCTGCTTGCAAATCGCTTATAGAATGCAAGTAGAATAATGCTTTCAATCTGTAAGCCATTTCGAATCCCAATATTTGAAGATCACTGTAATTGTTGAGATCATGGGGGTAAATAAATTCATCAGTATTCAGTTGGCCGTACGGTTGAGCTAACGTTTTGAACATCAATTCACTTAACTCCATGTTCGCGTATAAAAAATTAAGACCATTCTCCGAATTAACTAATTCATAAATAAGCTCATGTATGGGGCTTATGACGACGAGATTATTACATGTCGTGGGGCACGTCAGTAGATAGAGACATACTTCTAGAATCTTGTGAATGTTGAAGAAGTGTAGCAATATTTCATTGGAACATTCTTTATTGATCTCGAACTGAGCGGAAACAGGAAGAAACCTCTTAGGTTGAGATAAGTGAAAGCATTGCGTACGGTACATGTACAATATTTCTTCGAGAGCATTTATTATGAAATCAGTTTCGTTCTCTGTTAGTTCTGAGTCTTCGTTTTGATTATTTTCAGCCGCATTTTTGTTGAAATCGAAGACGAGGTCGTGAAGTTTACTCAGCAGTTCGTATATATTTAATTTTTTTATTAATGCGCTTATGGAAAATTTTATTCTAGCCAAAGGGTTCGTCTGCATGATAGCGATAAGAGCTTGGTAACCATTCTTTGGCTTATTTTCACCTTGATCCTTTTTGTAAAATTTCGGAAATATAGATTCTTGCATAAAGTGTTCCATAGATTCTTTTGATGCTAGACATGCATTTAAAGTCCTCAATATCATGAGGCGAATGCTCAGCGCCATGTATTCTTTGGTGTACATTTCTAAAAGTAGCATGGGCACATTGATCCCGGCACTTAATAATATACTTATAACTTGTCCATTGTGTTTGTGAAACATCAACGCTTCAGTTAGACGAATACCGCACTTCATGTGTCTTATCTTATAAGTTGGTTGCTGCTGAACTAACGCAAAGTCATAATTAAGTCCAATTCTGCAAAAAGTCACTAACAAATTGTAAATATCAATAAAATCATCGTCAGTATTATTTTTTCGGAATATGCGTAATATAATGTCAGTGTTTCGACAGAGATTCAATAGCGACACAAACAGTTGTTCACACTGATGTACCCATTCTTCGCGCGAAGAGTTATCAATTTCTGTAAAAGTGTTAGAGAAGAACTTCTGTTCTCTCTTCTTTGCTGCTTTTGTCAATTCCGCTATTTTAAATAAGTCTGAACTGGCGTCGCATAGTTCGTCGAAACTTGCACTCATCACATCTTTGACACCATCCTTTTGAATATTTGCAAGGAAATGTATTTTATTTACATAACTATACTTTTGCCATTCACATTTGAATGGATTATAATACTTTATGATATCATCGACTCCGCAGTAATCGTTTACATCATAATCCACTTCCACATATGGCGTTCCTTCTGAATCATCGCATATATCCTCATCAGAAAGGATAGGTTCGAATGGCTCAGCATCCACAGACTCTTCTTGGTTCCGTATCGGTGATTCTATAGCTTTTGCTGCGGTGGCATTGTCAACAATCTGAACGGTGACCAAACTGGAATGTTGCGGTTCAACAAAAGGAGCACTTTCTACTTCTTGTGATGGGCTACGGATAGAGCTTTTATGTCGATAGGTCGGATGGTAAAAATCGACTCGAGGAATTTGTTTCCCACTCCTGTCATAGTCAGGCCCTTCTTCAGAACGGGTTGAATTAATGGGACTGGATACATCACCCTCTCGAGGAGATAACGGTCTTCGAGCGCTCTCGCCAGGTGGAGTTCTAGGTCTCTTCCTCGGATCATCCCTACTGGGCGATCGGCTTCCATAACTTGATGTCCTCATTCGACTGTAGGGAGAATGTCTCTTTCTATCGTATGGAGGCTGCTTCTCATAGGACGGAGCTCGTCTTTCATACGATGAACCTCGTTTGTCATATGGGGACAGCCGTTTTTCATATGAAGGTCCACGTTTCTCGTAAGACATTTTACGTTCGTAAGAGGGAGCTCTTTTGTCGAAAGGTGAACGTCTGTCATAAGATGCTGTGTCTTTATCGTATGAACCACCACGTGAACGATCATAAGATGCATCGCGATGCCGACGATAGTCATCTTTCTTGAAGGAACCCCTCTCCCAATCGCGATCTCCAGACATTGCCCTCATTCTGTCTCTATCGATACTACGCGATCTGGATCGACTCAAGGGTCGATATTCACCCTTAATTAGATAGTCCCTGTCACGGCTTCGAGACCTTGAGTGAAGGCGATCAAGCTCCCTACTCCGTTCACGAAGTCGAGAAGATTCTCGGCTTCGACCTCTGTCAATAGAGCGTCTCCTGCTTCTAGTGTCTCTTCTATCTCTATCCCTGTCGTGCTCAAGCGATCGTGGACTGTGTCTCAACCTGTCATCTCTTTCACAACTCATTCCCCGCCTATCTTTTTCCCATTCGCTTTCATCCATATGATGATATGTTCTCGGATCTTTTGGTGGTTCATTTCCATAGTAATCGCCTCTATACATTTGATTGTCATAATTATCAGAGTAGTTGTTTGGTCCGTAAGTATCAGGGTTGCTGGTGGCAACATTGCCAGTGTACGAGGGTATAGGGTTGCTCGTCTCCTGGTTCCAATCTGGTGGTGGCACAGCAGCTGACTGAACAGGAGCTACTTCTCGGGCGATAGTTGGCCTCTGTATGTTAGGTGGATTGGCACCTACAGGGGTATCACTCAAAACCTGTGTGAGGTTTCCATAAACTGCCAAGGTGATGGTTGTATACCAACCTGAAAATTAAACGATAGGAAAATTTATAATTGATACAAAATAAAGTACAGTGGAACAAAGTGCAGTAGGCTCAGCTTGCTGTCTATACTCAGCATAAGCCAGTTGACTATATCATAGTATATTTTGTTTGTTTTGTATAAATTTTAATGATATATTTGTTAAGTGTGTATGTATTATGTGTGTTGATAAATATAAATATATTCTATGTATAAACACATTGTAAGCGCTATTTAACTTTAGTGCAAATCGTACATATGTTGAAAAGTTCAGAAAAAGTGCACTTTCCATCTTAAAAACGATTGATAAATGCTTTCTAAGTATGAATATTACAGCACAAATGTTAATAGAAAAACACAAAAAGAAGTGATGCAAGTAATAGTTATGCATAACTATTACTTGCATCACTTCTTTTTGTGTTTTTCTATTAACATTTGTGCTGTTTTTAAACCCAATTTT